TTCACACCCCCAGCTCATTAAGAGCTAATTTCTACTCCAACAGACAACTATGGTTGGACAGGTCAACTCACAAACCAGCTTTCATCATGACCGGGATGCGTCATTAGGAAGTGCGGATAATATGGCACCCTGATTTGGTTCCATAAACTTGTCGCGTCTGTCTTCCACTTTCTGTTGTTCTCAAAGTATTTTTTCTGTAAATTCTGTTTTTTTTCTCGTAGTGTCCACTACTTACCACATGAAATTCATTCGAGTCTATCAATTAGCACTCCTGTTAGTGAAAAATCCACGGACCTACATGCGTGGCCTAGCGGCATGGCTCCGAAGATTGCCGAGTTTTATGGGCAAAGGTTGGGGCGCACGCTTTCACTCCAGGATTATTAAACTACCGGAACGACCAGGTGAAGCCCTGCATTACCTTAGAGTACCAACGGACGTGAGAGAAAAACAGCGACAATTTCGGACTACTTTACACACAGCAGCAGACGAATGCAAAGATTCATGAAAGTTATCCTATTCCCAGAGAGTCCAATCGAGAAACGAAGATTCTAAAGCATGTTCTTCTTTCCTTGAAGCTCGGCATCATCCTTGAATAAGGTGCAAAGACCGGTAACTTTTACTGCTCAGTCCAGAAAGGATATACAATGTTGCATGCATAATTTTCATGAGAACGAGTGGATGTAAGGAGACAAACAGGGCAGTTGAGAATGACAAGTACCTTGGTTAGTCGAACCTCGGAGACTTCACCATTTTCAGCAACAATGAAAGTAGCACGGTATTCATGCCATCTGAAATCCAGAAAAACGCCAGTTATCAAAGATGTTGCGAAAACAACTTTATGATAGGAAATCTCGGTGAGTTACGATTTGAATGATATTGCCATGTCAACCTTAGGACCGTTAGAGTGCTGTACGCAACGTACAGCACAGACATCCACTCTCTTTTGTAAATGGAACCCAACAGAGATCAAGACAAGGAGATCAACGAACCAACAACCTTAGACTTAATCTGTTGATAGTACGGGACGTTGAACAGTACTGGCTTACGACATCAAACCAGTCATTGGTACATTCAGGTTATGAAGATTGCTCGGTTGTGTTGATGTTCAGATCACCCCTTCGTATCAGGATACGTAGACTACGAGTGGGGTATTGTGAAGTAACCGTGCGGCGGTTCGTCCAATCGATGGAACCGAAGGGAAACTGTTCTAGCAGCACATTCAGTTGCCTGGAAACATCAACTGGGTTCCAGGTCTCTCGAAAAACCAAATTAGTCTGCAAATGAGTGTACATTCGCTATAAACTGTTCCCCACCTTTCCAACCTCCTCTTTTCTCGCTAGTCTAATTTTCGTTCATTTTTGCTAGCGAGTAGATCCATCATACCTACGTACAAGGACGGAGTATAGTAATTCAATGCAATGATGAATTAAGCGCCAAGATATTGTATATTGTTATACCAAATGAAAACAAAACGTTTAGAGGAACAAAATCCTACATGTATGAAGAAGTTTCAGTTGTTTGATCAAGGGAGTATCCTGTCTTGATAATGTATAGATGGGAAAAATCGTTATCATTATTGACAGCACAACATGGTGTTCAAGCAGTGACGTACGACCATAATTTATCTGTTTGCTTGTTAATTCACTTGAAGTGTCCGTATGTGGGAATGAATAGTGTGACCCGAAATAGACGCATGTTAAGGACAGCACATGGAGCTGAACAAAATACAGCGTATCCACAGCCTGTTGTATTTCGCAATCAATAATTATGCCACTGTCCTACTAAGGTGACGGTGTTCTCGAACTATACTCCATAAAAACAAAGCGAACAACTAAGAAAGCCTGCATCCAGTGAGTCACTTGCTATTCAAATAGTCTCCAAAGTGTTTTGGTCGCGCTGTAATTGGAGTCCAAGAGATGTGCGATATCGGCGACACCCAGTCAACACGAAATACATGTACAAAGCGGAATTTATCAGGGTCGGATGACATAATGTAGCATGAGACTTCACAAAAGAAGCTTTATACTAACAAGGAGTCGAATGACGCAGAACTTCGTAGTCGGTTTGTAACACGTCTTAAGGCTGGGAGGCATCAATGAGCATACTCAACCAAACCAAACACGAGAACGGATTTTGAAAGAAATCACGACTGCTCGATAACCCGAGGGATGCTCAACAACTGGTTGATAAGTGCCACAGGTTGCAAAACATATGTGATGAGCATTCAAAAGTCATTTCGTTTAACATACGTGGCAAGGAGGTTAGACAAAAGTGCTAAAACGGTAACTCGTGAATGGTATCAAATTAGCCACAAGGAACAACTCTATTCCGAGGCATATAACTTGTAGAATACGAATGAGCAACCTGACAGCTACCTAGATGGTGTGTCGAGGTCATCAGCTGACGAATTCCAGTTTAAAAACTTATGAGAAAAAAACAAACGGATACAAGAACGGATATGCAGATGCACGACTTTTAGTATCCAGTGGTCAAATTTCATTCAGTGCAAAAGTAACACCTCTTTTACAACCACGGAAGTAGGCATCCCTTATCAAGGTGATTACATTATGGCTTTAGGTTGAGAACTCTGATAATGTGTCGAGGAAGCTCGGGTGTGTTTTAATTCATCATATGGCTGTTGATTTGTTCGCCCACCTTGGAAAGTGGCTACGTCCACACTTGGAAAGTCATTGTCGGCGAGCAGTTCAGTGAGTACTTCCTCCTTATCTGCCTGCGTTTATATAGATTTCGAAGAGTATCCATCATCCTCCCTCAAGATTCCAAGAAACGCAAATATCGATTACCCAATCACATAAAAGGATATTAGGTACTCCTCGAAAACTATGTAAACGCAGGCAGGCAAGGAGGAAGTACCCCTTCAACTCCGGACTGACGATGTCTCCTCGAGTGGGGACGAAACGTTTGCAAGTTAATGTCTAAACTCGGCGAACACACCAACGGCCATCTAATCAATCATCAATTGAGAACTCTGGGACATACTGACCTGAGTCCCGAGAAAAGAATCCTTGGAGTCCCACTGAACAGACATGCTGTCACAGCCCCTGACCTAAAGCTGCCACCTTGACGTGCATTCGCTATAAACTGTTCCCCACCTTTCAACCTCCTCATTTTCTCGCTAGTCTAATTTTCGTTCATTTTTGCCAGCGAGTAGATCCATCATACCTACGTACAAGGACGGAGTATAGTAATTCAGTGCAATGATGAATTAAGCGCCAAGATATTGTATATTGTTATACCAAATGAAAACAAAACGTTTAGAGGAACAAAATCCTACATGTATGAAGAAGTTTCAGTTGTTTGATCAAGGGAGTATCCTGTCTTGATAATGTATAGATGGGAAAAATCGTTATCATTATTGACAGCACAACATGGTGTTCAAGCAGTGACGTACGACCATAATTTATCTGTTTGCTTGTTAATTCACTTGAAGTGTCCGTATGTGGGAATGAATAGTGTGACCCGAAATAGACGCATGTTAAGGACAGCACATGGAGCTGAACAAAATACAGCGTATCCACAGCCTGTTGTATTTCGCAATCAATAATTATGCCACTGTCCTACTAAGGTGACGGTGTTCTCGAACTATACTCCATAAAAACAAAGCGAACAACTAAGAAAGCCTGCATCCAGTGAGTCACTTGCTATTCAAATAGTCTCCAAAGTGTTTTGGTCGCGCTGTAATTGGAGTCCAAGAGATGTGCGATATCGGCGACACCCAGTCAACACGAAATACATGTACAAAGCGGAATTTATCAGGGTCGGATGACATAATGTAGCATGAGACTTCACAAAAGAAGCTTTATACTAACAAGGAGTCGAATGACGCAGAACTTCGTAGTCGGTTTGTAACACGTCTTAAGGCTGGGAGGCATCAATGAGCATACTCAACCAAACCAAACACGAGAACGGATTTTGAAAGAAATCACGACTGCTCGATAACCCGAGGGATGCTCAACAACTGGTTGATAAGTGCCACAGGTTGCAAAACATATGTGATGAGCATTCAAAAGTCATTTCGTTTAACATACGTGGCAAGGAGGTTAGACAAAAGTGCTAAAACGGTAACTCGTGAATGGTATCAAATTAGCCACAAGGAACAACTCTATTCCGAGGCATATAACTTGTAGAATACGAATGAGCAACCTGACAGCTACCTAGATGGTGTGTCGAGGTCATCAGCTGACGAATTCCAGTTTAAAAACTTATGAGAAAAAAACAAACGGATACAAGAACGGATATGCAGATGCACGACTTTTAGTATCCAGTGGTCAAATTTCATTCAGTGCAAAAGTAACACCTCTTTTACAACCACGGAAGTAGGCATCCCTTATCAAGGTGATTACATTATGGCTTTAGGTTGAGAACTCTGATAATGTGTCGAGGAAGCTCGGGTGTGTTTTAATTCATCATATGGCTGTTGATTTGTTCGCCCACCTTGGAAAGTGGCTACGTCCACACTTGGAAAGTCATTGTCGGCGAGCAGTTCAGTGAGTACTTCCTCCTTATCTGCCTGCGTTTATATAGATTTCGAAGAGTATCCATCATCCTCCCTCAAGATTCCAAGAAACGCAAATATCGATTACCCAATCACATAAAAGGATATTAGGTACTCCTCGAAAACTATGTAAACGCAGGCAGGCAAGGAGGAAGTACCCCTTCAACTCCGGACTGACGATGTCTCCTCGAGTGGGGACGAAACGTTTGCAAGTTAATGTCTAAACTCGGCGAACACACCAACGGCCATCTAATCAATCATCAATTGAGAACTCTGGGACATACTGACCTGAGTCCCGAGAAAAGAATCCTTGGAGTCCCACTGAACAGACATGCTGTCACTTACTTTGCACGCGATTCCAACTTTTGCAATAACTGTTCTGGGGGCAGTCGTGATTCTGACAACGACGGGAGAGGGAGCAAGACGATTCTGAAGCTCACTTCGAGCTCGAATTTTTCTGAATCCGACAGGAGGTTCACAATTTCAATCCAACGAACATAGGAGCGAGTTAAGTAGTAAACGCGTACCAGTGCAAGTGCGGCAAGGATAGAAGACCTGGTGCTGTTTAAGTGAGAAAAGAAGGATAGAAACAAAATTACACGTGCCAGGCATAAGTGGGATAGTCAAGCGAAATTCCTGAATAACCACCTGCGGGACGGAATCAAACCCCGTATACATGAAACAGATGTGGTACAATATTCTTCCTCGAAAACTCCGCCACAAGGGACACTTTTCTATCCTCAAACAACTCAATATATCCTAAACGCGAACAAACCAAATCAATTGTATTCAATTAATTGAAAGCCTGATGAAGCCTTTGTGTCAAAAGCGAAACGTTGCCCAGATACCAAATACCGATTGTTTACCGAGCCCTTCTGGAACAACTCATTAGTACTTAAATAAAAATCGACCGTCATTTCGAGCAGTGCGCACATACGCGTGGCAGTGATAACTTTCGCTAAATACATCCATGAGCATATGCGCCGATATGTGGCTTACATCCGTGTGGTCACCTGAGCCTGGAGGTGGGAGAATGGGTGATCCAGTCAACAGTGAAGTCATGCTGAAAATCAATGTAGGTTATTCTCATCCTCTGACGATGAGCATCACAAATTATCCGAATCTCCACTGTGAACCTCTGATAATGAACGCGTTTACACCAGGCAAATCTATTGCCATCAGTCATCTCCACCATCAGTCACCGAAGAATTACTCAAGACACGACATTCTGACCAGTAGTTGTCAAAGCGGGCTAATTATTTGTGACCAATCAAAGATAGAAATTTGGTTGGCTGGACAGTCTGAAATACTGCATCATCCCGGAAGGGGACCGACAAACAATGGCTCTGGTTTGACCATTGTTACCTCTCAGTTACAAGGTTTGTGTGACCCAACTTGGTGAAAGAGCACGGCAGCATGCGCGCCATGCCCTACAGAGTCTCCGACCATACATAAGCAGGAATATGAGGGCCCGACCTGGAAGGTCGAAGATCCTACGGCATTGTTTGACTTTAGCCACTTTCATTTCACTGCTACGTCATGGCATGTCCACCACGAACCATTCATCAACAACGGCTCAGGACGGAAAGCAAGGCTTTCTTGGGTGTTTGGGCACAAGTAATACGCGCCTCAACCACTTTAACCTACCAAGTCTTATCTGCTGCTCTAAAGGTTAAGATTCGAAACATAGTATCGCGTGCTCACTGCAGCCAGCTAACTCTTGTTATGCAACGGTGATGACACAGACCAGATCCTCGGATCGGGAAGGCCACGTCTGAAAACCAACCGCTCTTACAGTTATCCTATGAGCTCGAAATAGCTCAGTGGTTAAGGCGCAAACTTACAGACCAGAAGGTCTGCAGTGCGAACCGAACCTCAACATTCCAACTACTTGTGTCTAGGCTTTGACAACCTGACAGCTGGGCGCCGAAAGGGTGTTACAGCCGAACGAGAGTTGTCGTGCGTGCGCGACCTCTAACCTCAGAGCTCTAACCGAATTCGGTAAACGCTGCCAGCGCTTCCATTACCCCCTTATGGAATACATCCATTGAAGTACAATAACGGCTTACGCAGCTGCCATGATAAGTGAACAGACCAACAAACTCAGGTTCTTCATACTTAAGATTCAGAGAAGCACAAGAAGATGGAGATTTTGAAGTAGTACTTGGAACTTTGGACTTATGCCGCACTCGAAATGTGAGACCATCACTGGTGGGTCATGGGTGTCTCCAGAATATTATCTGGGTTTGGTGGGAACATTGGACGAACCATGGCTTTTGAACGAAGGTTGACTGGGTACACTCCATAGGCTACGTCGGAAGGGACACATAATTAGCGTATCAAGGGACCCCCTATATCGCATATCTCTTCAACCACCTCCGTGCTGACTGGCAACAAAGTATGGAAATTCGAACAAGTAAACTCAGTCGTAGTCGTAACTACCGTCTTTCCAGATATGGAGCTCGGGATAAGACACTAACGTTGGCGACCAACAGGTGGCCAAATCACATAGCCAGTAATGTCATTGCATTACGGCTATCGTATTTAACATATGGATGTATCAATTCCTGATCCATGGGTGAAGTGAGGTAATTACATAGGCCACTGCACTCAAAACACAGCCGACGATCAAGAGTGTTCAGATGCTTCATAGAAGCACGGTCGACTGATGATGTGTGTTCACCAAACGCCAATCAGACAGTCTGGGTCAATGCCAAAAGTGCCCTTTTAAATATCGCGAGGCCCGCCGATACGTTTGCACATACTCGTTCGCAATAAAGCTGTTGTGTTCCTTGTTGGTGAGTCTTTTCCCGAAACAAAGGCACCGAGGCGGATACAGCAGTTTCCCAGAGAAGACTAAATCGATTAATCCCATCCCCGTCGCCAATTGTAGTAACGGTATTTTCCACAGCTTAGTTCTCGGTCTGAGCCTCCCAAGCTAGCGTCCACGTCAAAACAACCACCAAAGGTGCACATGGTCTATCAATGCCCAAAACGAAGTAAAGAACAGTTGTACAGCGCTTCGTATATACAGCCTAAGCGGTTATAACTTTCTGGAAGTTCTGACGCGTTCTGGATGCGCCATTGGCAACCGGCATTTGGCTAATACTGGGTCACGACTAGCTGTTGGGTCCAGATTTCTGACCAATCAGATCTCGTCTTGATGCCGGACCGGCAAGTGTCCCGAATTCTTGGCCAATCTCGTGCGGGTTAGGCTTATCGGCAGAATCAGGGCCTAAAGACGTGCGGTAAAGCGGGATCCGTGTGGAATTCTGACTAACAGTCAGCGCAAGAGTGCATTTAAAACGGCTTCTACATTAGAACGGAAACGCTGCCAATCGATTTCTGTTATCCTATCATTCAAAGTGGATTTCGAATCCCGCAGGAAGTCTACCACACTACGTGAATAATTATCTTGGCCCTTCCCCGTCTACTCCTATTCTTTTCTTAACAATAGGACTTTCAAAGAAATCATGACTGTAAGGTAGCAAGTAATCAGTGATGAACAACGATGTCGCGCCACAGATGATGATGATGAATCATCCTGTCAGTCTTCAGCTCAATAAAACCTCAGACATCACACTGACTTCACTTCCCATTTGGAACGCAATTGGGAAGCCATTATTTTCTGATACCAACCATTCTGCACAGTCTGCTTCCGGCAAAAACTGACCGCTTACTGGTGAACTCACTTGTGATGCGTCCTTTAGTAAGATGCGATTTAAAGGCGCTTTGCTACCTCTTGATTGGATAAATGAGTGAAATCTATTTTGTGCCTCTACGGTCTGTATGTGACGGCGCACCTCTCACACATAGAAGCATTTGCAAACATCAAAATTTTATGGTGTTCTTAAGATGATCTTAGGCATTGTTCTAAAGCCCAAGACACAGTTTAGTGGAAACCAGATAGCAAACCTGTCTTCAGACCTAAACGCCCTGTAACTTATGTGGCTCTTGCATCTGTAGAATCTAAACTCGATCGCTTCCGGAATTCAGGTGTTATCCAGCCAGTCACCCATTCTGAGCAACTCCCATTGTTGTGGCCAGGAAGACGAATGAGAATATCTGGACTTGTGCTGACTATTCCACAGGCTTTAGTGCTGTACTCAAATCATATCAGTATGCTTTCCCAGTTCCAGAAGACCCGTTTACCAAACTCAATGGTGACACTTGCTTTGCTAGACTCGATCTGACTGATGCCTATCTGCAAATCAAAGTTGCCGATGACTCTAATGACATTTTAACCACTGAAGTCACCGCGGTCTTTTCCAGTTCAATCGTCTTCCCTTTGGAGTAAAAACGGCGCCAACCATATTCCGCAGATCATGAACACTATACTCAATGGGTTAACAGGTGTCATGACGTACTTGTACGATATCCCTGCAGCAGCCTCTGATCAGGAAGAATTCCATCGCTTAACCTCAGTACTTAATCGAATCCAGAAATACGGCTTCCATCTCCGAGCGCAAAAATGTGCATTCTTTCTTACATCTATCAGTCATTTGGGTTTTACTTTCGATGAGCCTGATCGTCATTCTGACCCGGACAATAACGATGCAATTCAGAGGATACCACCACCAACGGGCATGCCTTCACTGTGAACTTTATGAGGGTTGGTAAATCAATACAGTACTTTTTCTACCAGATATGCACTTTGGTCGTGTTCCTCTCAACCATCTCTTAAAAAAGGATGTTCCCTGGAATCGGTCACCCCACTGTCAATTAGCTTTCGACGCCTTTGGTCGTCTCTCAACCATCTCTTAAAAAAGGATGTTCCCTGGAATCGGTCACCCCACTGTCAATTAGCTTTCGACGCAGCTAAGCCACTTCTATCATCTGATTTGCTACTTACACCCATCTATGGATATCACTCTAGTGTCAGATGCACCCAACCATAGAACCGAAGCAGTTATTTCCCACAGATTTCCTGACAGAACTGAAAAAGATGTCACTCATGCAGCTTGACCTTTGATACCAGGCGGACTCAATTGCAGCCAGATAAAAAAAGCACTTGCAATCGTGTTTACCATCAGGTAATTCCACAAATGATATAAGTTCATCATTTCACACTCCTCATAAATCACAAACAGCTTGTCAACATTTTCGGTTCTAAGAATATCGTTCCAGTGTGTAAAGTAAATTGTCCCCAGCGCTGAGCGACGATTATCCTAGGTCATGATTTTCCAACCAAATACCAGTCTATGAATACCATTGGCCAAATAGATGCCTTATAAAGACTGATAGAGTCACAAAGGCAGTTAGCGGAAGATAGTCCTGACATTCATTTCCGTCTAACCGGGAGCCTGAACCATACTCGCTGCATCAATCCGAGCACTTCCATTTGCTTCAACGTCGATCCATGGCGAAACCAGATGTGACCTTGTGATCCAAAAATGATTACACTATCACCGAACAGGCTCGCCATCACTCAGTCCTTATTCTATCGACGATTTTCTCTATCTGAAGCCGACGGTTGCCTTCTCTTTGAAGAATGTGTTATAACACCAGTCAAACTGCGAGCACGAGTACTAGAGAATTTCATTTCGGACAACCCCGCATCGACCGAATGAAAGCCTTAGTGATAGGTTAAGTAAACTGACAGGGTACGAGGAAACAACTAGAACTTGTTCAGTCCGGTTCAAAATGACAGTGTTCTGCAAACGCACCGCAGAAGACTGAGTTATCCTCTCAGTCTGCACCAACCAACCCTCGGTCGCGTGGACATGATGATTTTCCAGGATCAACTAAGAATCAGTCTTATCTTATCTAGTAAATGGCCGGAGATAATCATGATACCTCACATCACTTTTCACTCGCATCTTCAGTCGCTTCGGTGCGCCAGAAACATTGATTTCAGAATAAGACAGTGCGTTTACCTAGGGGAATTTGCTTTGTTTTGCAAGCCATTCACCACGTTCGATCGTCGCCATTCCATCCTCAATCTAAAGACCGCTTTGTCAACACGTTCAAGCGAGGCATTTCAAAAACTTTAAGAGGGGGGAGCGTCAACAGGGATTACTGGAACCTTCTTAAGCCAGCGTGAGACACCTAACACGAAATGCCAAACAACTCACCCACTGAAGCGCTTTTTGGGCGTAAAATCCGTTTACCCATAGATGCGGTATGCCCAACACCCCCCCCCCCCCGCGTCTACAGAAAAGGGGCGCATATGTGGAGCTACAGTTTAACGGCCACCGCGGTACCGTTCACAATACCGATAAGCCCGGTGAATCGGTTTTGGCTAAAGACCATGGCAGCAGTGGAGAAATGGACTCATGGCTGCATCAAGCGCCGTGTGGTTAACGTCATTTACGAAGTCGACTCGTAGTCAACCACACGGCTGCGTCACGCGAATCGACTTCGCCCAAAACATGCTTCACTGGCTATTCCTTTGAACATACTGTTGGATACCTTTTAGTTACCATCCACACATGTTCTCCCGGTGCAAAGAAGCGAACCCCAGTGGAATCCACATGCACGCCAAGACGGCAGTCCAGCCGTAAGCAAAAATCACTTACACCAATGCGGCTGACTCCACATATGAAAGCCTACAAACATTTTGAAAGAGGGGGTGTTACGACGACCAGGTCCTAACAAACAATTCGACTTCTTGTAACATTTCACTAATATTTCATTTTCTTTCTGTTGTAGCCAACTGAACCACAGCGCTCTTTCTTCCGTTGGCTTATCCTAAAAATAACCGGTGTTCGTCCGGTCTCCCTTGTCTTGTTCAGTGGGATATCCTACTGAAGTACTTCGGCTATCAAAAGTAATGGGATAAGTTCCGTCAATCTCCTGAATCACCCAGCTAGCAAACAGTCACAACAGACATTGTATACTAAGACGAATATTGCCCTCAGTGGCTACTCCTAAATGGTGACAAAACAGGGTGGGCCTGTGACTTGACAGAGGGGCGTGAAAAAGTTTGCTGAAAGTTTTGGTGTTGGTGTTGCGGCCCACCTTTTCTCTTGACTCTCTGAGTTTGTGTGGAGCCGTTGTGACCAACCGATGCCGGCCAACGGATATCAATGATGTACGCGCTGTCGTGGTCCTCCTAATGTTTTTGATTGGATGCATGGAGATGTAAGCGACACAGAATAAATGCGCTGAGGGTGGCACCTGTCCATTTTCCATCCTCCACCTCAAGGCTATGACTAAATTCAAACAAACTTGATAAAAAACTAAACATTACTAACACCATCATCATCAGAAACAGCAACGCAGCTGATGCTTCACTCCTTTGCAATCACAAATTTCGCCTAATTAAATATAATTTAAAGTCTTAAAGTGAGAAGATAAAAGAGCAGAGTTGATGCTGGTTTGTCGCAAGCATTCTAAACTGTCTATACTTCCAAGAGCATGATCAAACAGCCTGAACGCCACCGACGCTGATTAGCCATTACTTCTCGAGATGTTTCCGCCCAAGTACAGGGGATACCATCCTATAAAGGGGGCCAAACCAACAACAATTCGTAATCTCTTTAACAACCTACTGCCGAGTCATGTGTTGCCCAGTTGACAGTTAGAGGTATCTTGTGGGAGGCGCGGAGGACGAAACTCGTCTCAATAGACGATGCATCGACATTCGGGAACCACCATAGTTGATGGTGCCAGATGTTTTCCACAAGCGAGGTATCTGTTGCACAACCAAATGTCCATTTTCTAATCACCACGGAACCATACAACAAAGCAGCCCTCATTCTGGTACACGCGACCCATGAGACCAAGTGATACACTACTTTGATGCCACGAGTGGCCTAAATTGGCAAACGTGATTTAGGCCTTTGAAATATGCGCAGGCTTTATTAGACACATCTCTGTCAAAGCTAATTTTATTACTGAGGTACGCAAAATCCTCCCTACTCTCCAGTGATTCTTCTTGAACTGAAGATACACACTGAGAAACTTCACTATCTGAAGCATGACTTTGCACTTTGAAGGCGTTAGGTGCATGCCGAAAGATGGTCAGTTTATTCGACAGCTTGTGACGCGCCTTCATCTTGATGTACGATTTCGTCTGCGTACTCCAGATCAATGAGATTCTCACCAGCAGTGATTTGAACACACGGGATTTAAGACTTCCCAGTGTTCGACTCATTATTTCATCAACGACGAAGTAGAACAACAACGGAGATAGTGGATATCCTCTTCGGACATTAATTTTTGTAGGGGAGCTTTTGGAGAGCTCACCATGCACTCCCACACGCCCAGATGTACGTGAATATAGGGTTCGGATTATGCTCACAAAATTCTGGGGCATGCCCTGTTGAGCAAGTATAGTTAACAGTAATGACGGATCGACAGAATTGAAAGCACACTTGAAGTTAAGAACACCAAGATGGTGGGTTGTGTGTACATGTGCCGTTGCTCTAACACCTGATAGAGTGTGTGGATCTGGTCGGCGAAGGCTCTAACCGATCGACATCTCACCTGATGCTAACGGGTCAAGGATTCGCGTGATGCGGTAAGACGACGAAGGACCAGTAAGGTCAGAAGCGGTAACAATGGGAGTCAAACTGACTCCTTTGTGGTTACTACATTAATTGGTAGTACCATTTCTGTCGACTCGTCCCGGCTGTATGAGATGGCTTTGTCCTCCTAGGTATACAGAGCAAAGTGCGTGAACTTGAAAAGCACAGAAAAAACAGCAACCAATAACTGCATGGTTGGAGTCCACGCTCCCTCTGTTCCTCAAGAACAGCTCATACTGAAGGACGATACATGCGATCCGGTAAGCTCAAATGGGCTACCCCGCATGGTTGAAAACTGCGATACAGGCCAGTACTACCTTCACTTTTCCACTTGCTACTCACTTCGGTTCGCCAATATGACGCTTCATGTTGGATGACGACAGGTAGTCATAATTACAAAATCCCTGTATAAGAACGGCACGCCTACATGATTGAGAGATCTACATTAGACTGAACAGTGCAACCTCACTATCGCCTCACCTCAGCATCGCACGCACGCGCCATAATCCAATGAAATCGAATTCCGTTTTTTCTCAAGGCCGCTTAGACCCAAACCCCAAAAGGTGGGCTGATAGGCGAGATGGCTCAGTGGTTAGAGCGCGAACTTACTGACCAGAAGGTCCGTGATTCGAACCCAACCTCTGCATCTCGACTTCCCCTGGTAGTATCCCACCTCCCGTGCTTCCTTCGGGTGGCATGGCAGCTAGGCACCGAGAGGATGTTACAGCTGAACGGTTATTATAATTATACTTATTGTTATTATTACATCGCTACCCAGCCACCAGTGGGCTCTGCACAAGTTTACCAATCCAGAATTATAATGAGCGAATCTCCCTACCCAGAATGCCCCTCAGATGAAGAATCGCTGGTTTCGCAACTTTCATATTCGGGTTCTGCAACATCTTCATCATGGATATTGGCGATTTACTCCCGCACATCCACCAACGGAATCAAAATGATATGCCCTTGCTCCACTCCTCCGTAATCAGTCCTGAAGAAAGATTGGGTTCACAAATTGCTTCCAGATTCACACACGATGATAATTCACCAAAATTTGACCCCAACCACCTTGAAAATAGGTACTTGAGACAGGCTCCCATATTAGATGAGGCTAATGAAATGGAGTAGCGCCGTTTATGGGTATGCGATCTACTTTGGTGGTCAACCAAAGACTCGCCCTTTGCACAAAATCTGCGTACATGAGGCAGTAATTTGATGAGGAATCAAGGAATTTCGGCTTATGCAAAGAATAGTAGATGGATCCTAGTGACGTTGCTGTCTAAAGGTAAATCGTTACTAGGTCCGTAGGCAGATCTTCCTTACATTTGAACTTATGTGCCACACGTAATTAAGTAACCTCGAGGCCAACCGTTATGGTGAAATGATCACATGTTGATTTCTGTGGTCTTAATCTTGGACGAAATCACGGTCGAAACCAAACCGAGTACACTTACCTCAGGGTATGGACCTTTCCATTGGAACGCTCGAAGGAGACGACAGTTGTTGGATCAAGAAAACTGGACGGGATATGGAGGAGGCCTTTCTCAAACAAGCTCGGAAGTTCCTCTTCTAGCTTCTGACGCAAAATCAGCATACGCTCAACCCTAATATTCTCCTTTGGGTCCGAACCAGAAGTTCCGTCAAAAGAATATAGGGCAAAATATTCCGAGAGCTGCACTTTGTACCTATGCGGATTCTGGCAGATTTGGATAAACTGAGGTTGCGGAAGCGCTACGTAACCTCGATAGAGTAGTCCGGAAGATATACAAGCAAGAAGAACCGAGTGCTTTCGTAGTCTGTACAAAAGTCCCAGTCTATGGAACGTGTCGTTTGAGCCGGTACATCGTAATGAAATGAATCGGCGAAACATTACGACAAAGAGTAAGTTGCCTGTAATATAAATAGGATTTTACTTAGTAATGATAAGGGAAACGAAAAAGGAGCGGGAAGGGAAAAACGGTGGAAGCAACATAGTTCAGAGAAAACGTTGAGTGAATAGCTTAACCGTTCAATATAACCACATAACCACATCTTAATTGGTCGGATCGGTCAGTCGAAAGTGAAATATTTCAAAACAAGAAGCGCACCGAGCTATTCACCCCATGGACATCTTTCATCGCATGAGTGAAAGATCTCAATGCAACCAAGGTACGAGGTAGGTAGGAATCATATTTCCGAACCCCGAATTAGCGCAGAAGTCAGACATAGTAGGTGACTAGCGTTCCCGGTAGGCTAAAGACAACCCCCAAATTCATGGGCACCTCTTGGAGTCCGTACCTCAAGCCTCTGGGTTGGGCTGCCTAATCTTTGTTTATAGATCGTACATGGACACACAATACAAGTCCCCACACTTTCAAAGACTGTATTCGTAGCTCAACCAATGATGTCAGCTAGGTTTGCGTCGCCCATATCCTTTTACCCCATCGATTCTATTGGTCAGAGACGCGAATTTTCACTAATTCGCGTCTTATAGGTTGTTCTTTCAATAGTATGCTCATGTTTACATCGATTCGTTTCTTTCCGTCTTTATTGATACCTACATACCGAATTTCCGAAGGATGTGACTCCAATTCGGTCGTTCAAACGCTTTCGTCCCCCGATAGCATTAGTATACACGTACCGTCCTTCATCCTGAATGTCAATTTTGAAACGATGTTAGAGTCAGAGACGACTGTCCCCCTGAAGTACGCCATATCCGACTACAAACCGCTGCCAGCAAACTCTACTGACCATGAAAATGAAAAGCAGATATCGGAATATCCAATATCCAAGCCGTCAACATCGCCAGATATCCCACCCGAGCGAGGTTCTTATTGAAATTGACGAGAACGACTTTGAAGTAGTAATCTGTCTGCTATTCGTATGCACTCTCCCGGACAGTCGCGTGTTTTTTACGCAGGATGCGAAACAACATATCAAATGAGTATGCAGCTGAGCACCATTCGTTTTGTCCACATTTCTATGAGTGAAATGTGATTCGACAGGTATAGTTTGCCACAGCTACCTTCAAGTCGCGATATATGATATATGTGACAGTGGAAACAAGGTGACTAACGGTACGGCCAATACCGTCGCCACATAGACCCGACCTAAAGCTGCCACCTTGACGTCGGGCTTG